GATTTTGAAGGTTCAAAGGAGTGGCACTGGCATCAGTTCAGCTCTAGTGAGAGCCCCCTTGGCTGTATCACAGCGTGGAGGGGAGCAGGTGGTGAGGAGGGGATCACATGGCTCAGCAGAGACTAGAGAACAAGCAGAGTCCCATATTCCTTCCAAGCGCGTGCCCTAAGAACATTGCCCTAGGCTCCGCCACTTAAAGGCCCCACCCTTCCCACTGTCATACTGAGGACCAAGCTCTGACAACATGAACCTTTGGGGGACAAACAACTCCCAAACCACATTGAGCTGTTACCGTGTGTCAGACACTGGGCATGAAGATAAGTCAGCAGCTGTCTGCATCTTAGAGGCTTCTAATCCAGGGGAGAGACCACAGCATTTCCTTACTGCTGCTCCACCCCCAGTCTTCTCACATCTGGTAGACAGATCAGGAGAAACAGAAAGAAGGCAGCTGACGTGCACTCTCCCCTTTGTTAGCTCCTCGCTGTCCCTTTCTCAGCAGACCTCAGCCATGCAAGGGATCAGACAGAAAAAAAAAAAAAAAAAAAAAAAAAACTTTCAAAATCTCCTGGAAATGTTCTGGAGTTCTTGAAGGTTGTGACACCACTTGCTGACTTCCTTTGGGGACTAATTCATTTTGTAATTAGAAAGGGGAAAAGATTCACTCTGATACGGTTGGCTCTGAGAGCCAGGGAGAACTTTTTCTGGCTTCCAAACCTTACAAAGACTGGCTGGGTCATTGCACCCAGATAAGGCTAACACATCAGAGCAAGAGGAAATTCTGTTATTTTCTCATGGTTATAATTTAACTCACTTACCTGGAGCGTGAACACTAGGTCCAACAAAGCAAAGAGTAGGACTCCATCAAGTCAAAGGGAGAGTAAGGAAGTATTTGGGGCCTGAACGTTAGACACAACACCAGGTGGAAGTGAGTCAAAGACCTGTGAGACTGGGATATCAGTGGAGAGGAGCAGACAGAAGTCAGGTGTCTCAAAATCTAGAGAGAGGATAAGAAGTAGGTGGATAATTGTAGTCAGAAAGAGGCTACAAATGAGGAGCCCAGGGAACCACAAATGACCAAGGGGCTACTAACTGCCAGGGTCAGATAGAGACTGGGAGTCCCCAGGATGAAGAATCTTGGCTGGGCAGCTGTGTTGGCAGGAGTAATGTCAGCATATGGGTGGGCCCTTGGCCATAGACAGGAGCTGAGAGGTGAGAAGGGAAGACAGCTGGGTAGGTTGGAAGACTGTGGAAGGCTGTTTCTACCCATCCAAGCAGAATAAGTTTTTCCTAACATATTCTTAACCTTACCCTTACTGCTGTGTGCAGCTTAACGTGCCGTGTGTTCTTCATATTCCACCTCCCCAGCAGCCTTAGTGCTGCCAGAAACGAGACCGCCAGCTTGCTCAAAGTGCAGTTGGCAAACAGCAGGTGCTGTTTGCTTTGCCTAACTCCTAATCCAGACTCTTGACCATCACCCCAGCCCCGCCCCTCCCTGCAGTTGCCATGTGGACGCTCAGATGCACAAAGATGGGCTCTCTGAAAATTATCCAGGTTCTTTTTGCTTCTGTTGTCTCTGACACGAGGGTCACAGTGGCTTACAAACCAGCGGTGTGATTTAGAGACCTTGCTTGTATGTCCTTCCAACATATCCTAATGAGACAATACTTCCTGAGAACTGCTGCAGGCCTGCACGCCTGAGTTTATGGTGTTAACCTCCATATAAGCACTGAAATATCAGTTACCATCAACCCAGCTGATTAAGGGAGCCTCCCACCCCCTGCACCCCATGCAGCTCTGCACTGCAGCTGCAGGGAGTCCACTCCCAGCTCTCTTCCTTGGATTTTTCCCCAAGGTTGGCAGTCTTTTGTTTTTGTTTGTTTTTTGACAGGCAGAGTGGACAGTGAGAGAGACAGAGAGAAAGGTCTTCCTTTGCCGTTGGTTCACCCTCCAATGGCCGCCGTGGCCGGCGCTCTGCAGCTGGCGTACTGTGCTGATCCGAAGGCAGGAGCCAGGTGCTTCTCCTGGTCTCCCATGGGGTGCAGGGCCCAAGCACTTGGGCCATCCTCCACTGCCCTTCCGGGCCACAGCAGAGAGCTGGACTGGAAGAGGGGCAACTGGGACAGAATCCGGCGCCCCGACCGGGACTAGAACCCGGTGTGTCGGCACCACAAGGCGGAGGATTAACCTATTGAGCTGCAGTGCCGGCCTGCTGACAGTCTTCTAATGAGGTATGGCATTTATTCCTTCACTGCCTCAAATGCTGTGATACCATGCAAGCAGTGTTATTGGCTGCCCTGTCCATTGGCTTTTGTGAAGATGGAAAGTAGGAAAAATTGGGAGGCGAGGACAACACCATCAGGGGATATAGCTAGAGAGGAAAAAAAGGAGATAGAAGGGTGAGGGAAAATAAGAACAATAATATGAACCTTCTTGACAGTTTGAGTTTTGCCTTATTCAGAAAGCTGTTAAAATCCTTTGACATTTTCCTTTAAAGCTAGTCCTCTGTTTAAAGTTAAAACAACATCTTTTCTGCCTGGGACACAAGCTGTAGGAAACTTAAAAAGATATAAAGATACCTATCTAAATCGTTTGGTGACTTCAGCTGTGTGTGTGTCCCTTTGCAGGGCTGTGGCAACAGCTTCTGAGTGTGAACACCAAAGACAGAGCTCTCTAGTTATTTTTTCCCAGTCCGTAGGCTCTGCTTGTACTTTGTGTTTCCCCTGTGGCATGGCTTATTGGGATGGCTGGGACAAGGATGGTAATTCAGCTATTTAATTTCAGGCCATTGAGTAGCCAGGGGATAAGGACTGGGAAATGATGAACTTTCTTATTTCTATGACTACTTCGTAAATTTTGAAGGAAAAAAAAATCTGCCATGGACTGGATCGTCCCTCTCCTACCCCTGTTCCCAAACACCTTGGTTAAAATCCCAACCTCCAAAGTGCTAATGTTGAGAGGTGGGACTTGGGGGAGGCAAGGAGTACTAGCTAAGATCATGAGGATAGAGCCCTCAGGAACAGGATGAATTCCCTTCTAAGAAGAGACACCAAGAGAACTTGCTGCTTGCTCTGCTGTCTGCCAAAGGAGCACACCTGTGAGAAGGCAGCAATATGCGAACCGGGAAGCCAGGCCTCACCTGACACCTGATCTGCTGGCGCCTGAAACCAGCATTTGACAGTCTCCAGTACTATGATAAATAAATAAATAAATTTTATTCCATTAAAATTTTAAATTTTTAATTAATTTAAGGATGAACCTGGAATATGTATACATTTTTATGGCATACAGTAAAATATTTCAACACATATATAGAGCATAAACCAATCAAACAAGGCAGTGAGGTATTCTATCTCCTTATCTTCTTTTTCCTTTTTTGAAAAGATTTATTTGAAAGGCAGAGTTACAGAGAGAGAGAGAGAGAGAGCAACAGAGAAAGAGGGAATGACAGAGAGAGCTTCCATCTTCTGGTTCACTTCGCAGATGGCTGCAACAGCTAGGGTTGGGCCAGGTTGAAGCCAAGAGCCAGGAGCCTAGAGCTTCTTCTGGGTCTCCCACATGGGTGCAGTGGCCCAAGCACTTGGGCCATCATTTGCTCCTTTTCCAGGTACATTAGCAGCGAGCTAGATCAGAAGTGGAGCAGGTGGGACTTAAACTGGTGCTACAGGCAGTGGCTTTACCCACTATGCCACAATGCCGGCCCCTACTTCTTTTGTTTTGGTACCAATTTCCAACCTCCCTCCATCTCCCTCTTCCCACCCTTCCCAACCTATAGCAACCACCATTCTATGTTCAGATCAACTTTTTTTTTTTTTTTAGTTCCACATGTGAAATAAAACATTCAGTATTTGCCTTTCTATGCCTGGCTTATTTTGTTCAACATAATGATTTCCATTTCCATTTGCTTTGCTGTAAATGTTAAGTTTCATTCTTTCTGATGGATGAATAATATTCTATTCATTCATGTTGCAATAAACATGGGAATACAAGTCTCTTTCATATGCTGATTTTGTTTCCTTTGGTTATGCACCTAGGAGTGAGAAAGCTGGGTCATGTGGTAGGTCTATTTTTAGGTTTCTTTTTTTAAATATACTGTTTATTTTAAAAATTTGTCTAAAAGGTAGAGGGAGGAGAGAGATCTTTGATTTACTGGTTCACTCCCCAAATGCCTGCAAGAGCTAAGTCTGGGTGAGCCTAAAGCCAGGAGCCTAGAACTCCATGCAGGTCTCCTAAGTGGGTGGCAAGGACCCAAGTACCTGACCCATCATGCGTTGCTTTCCAGGGTGCACAATAGCAGGAAGCTGGACTGGAAAGAGAGGCAGAAGTGGAACCCAGTCATTCTGATATGGGATGTGGATAACCCACAAGTGGCGACTTAACTGCTAGGGCAGATGGCAGAGGAGTGACGTGGCAGCCCTTCCCTTCTTCACTGATTTTTTTCTTATTTTTATACCAAAAAAGACACTCTAGTCTCTCACCTGTCTTCCTTGGCTCTTGTGAAGATGGCTTAACGTGTGAAAAGCATTTTTTTCAGCCACCATCATGGTCCCAATGTTTGCTGGTTTAGTCTCATAGTCAGTGGTCAATTATTATAGCAGCCCAAGCAGAGTAAGAGATGTCCCTTCCATCTCCTGTCCTCCTGATCATTCCTGACCTGGTTCAACCTTTGTGTCTCTGTCCCACTCAGGATGATGTCCATTCTGACCCTGAATGGCCTCCCATGGGAGGGAAGAGTCTTTTCTGTCTACTAAGCAGAGACCTTCCAGGTAGATCTTTCTCTAAAAAAAAACAAAAAAAACAAAAAAACAAAAAAAAAACACCCAAACGCAAGGTTCTAGGAATAAGAGAAGCAAAATTCTCAATGGCGGAACCTACATTTGTCATGACTTTGATGTGTTTGTGTGCATGTGTGTGTGTTGGGGGAGGAGGAGTGCTTGGGTGTTCCTGATGGTTGTTTGATTCTAATTCTGCTTCCTCCATCTTCACTGACTTCCTTTCCATAGTTCCTTCCTTCAATCAAGAATGAAGGTGACATAAGGTGTGGACAGAAATTCCTTGTCCCATGAAAAACTCTCCAAAGAATGCATGGGTGAAAAGAGGTAAGAGAAGTAACACAGAGAGGAAGAAAGGGGGTATTGTGTTGGAATTAAGACGCACCTGCGTTTGAATTTCAGGGTTAGTGCCAGAACAGCCATATAATCACTTAACTTAGTTTCAGCTTTCACATCTGTAGACGGGAATTAATTAGGTTGTGTATTCAGAATATGCTATGGTTTGAATTGTCCCCCAAATTCATGTATTGGAAATTTAATCCCTTGGCAAGAGTATTGAGGGCGAGGGCTTTTAACTCTCTACTTAGCATAGGGTTAATCTTATGTGTATAAAGTTAATTGAAAATCTTAGTAAAAATAAGACTGCAAAAAAAGAAAAGCAAGGATAAAGAAAACATTCAAAATATATTGGTGATGGTTTGCACAATCTGTGTATATGCTTGAAAACAATTATATACTTTAAATGGGTGCATTTTATGCTGAATGAACTAAATCTCAATACAACTGCTATTTTTTAAAACGTGATTGAGTTATGAAATCTCTGCCCACCTGAATGAATTAATGCTGTTTTTTTTTAATATTTATTTATTTTACTTGAAAGGCAGAGTTACAGAGAGAGAGTGAGAGGAAGAAACAAGAGAGATCTTCTATCTGCTGGCTCACTCCCCAAATGGCCACAACAGGCTGAAGCTAGGAGCCAGGAGCTTCATCTGGGCCTCCCACGTGGGTGCAGGGGCCTAAGTACTTGGGCCATCTTCTGCTGCTTTCCCAGGCACACTAGCTGAGAGTGGGATGCCTATATGGGATGCCTGCTTAACCCACTGTGCTACGGTGCTGGTCTCTGAATTAACACTGTTAATCATAGAAGTGGTTCTTGATAAAAACATTAGTTCAGTCCCACCCCTGACCCCCAGCCACTCTTGCCCTTTGTTTTTCCACAATGGGAGGACACAACTCCTTGACCTCAGACTTCCCAGCCTCCAGAACTATGAGAAATGAATTTCTTTTCTTTATAAATTATACCATCAAGGGTATTCTGTTATAGCAACAGAAGACTAAGAGCACTTCACAATGCTATCTATTTAGTAAAAGTTCAATAAAGGTAGGCAGTGTTAAGCACAGAATCCCTAGGGCCAGAGCACTGTAGGGGCTGCTGTATGAAAGTGCATAAGCAGGGACTTGGAAGCAGCAGGCAGCACATTAGTCCCACCTGCTCCCTACTCTTGCACCAATTCTTTGGGCAAACATAAGCAATGAACAGGTTGCCTCCATCTGAGAGGACTTCAGGGAGTTCTAGGACAAAGGATAGATAAACAGTTTTCAAGTATTCCAGTTTTTTTAAAAAATCACACCTTAGATCTCAGCTTCAGCTAGATGATGCCCAAGGTCCATTAAAACCTAAGTTTTAAAAATACACAAGGTACAAAATCCAAAATGTGTGAAAGGATTTAAGCACAGTGCAGTGAAAAGTAAGTCATCCTCCCACCCTGTCCCATCTCCCCAGAGGAAACCCACAGTATATAACTAGGTTCCTCTACAGTGTGTTCTAAATGCAGAATGTGAAACCTCCTTCCAGAACATTCCATGCTCCTTTAAACCTTTAAAAAATAGCTGTATATGTTCCCTTTTATTCAGTTTGATAATATAGCTTCCATGGCTATCATTGCTAGTCTGATGATGACCCCACCAGCTGCTCACAAGCAAAGCATGGTGCAGAACACTCTGGGGAGCATCCAACGCAAGAACATGGAGTAGATAGCACACAGAACATACAGGCGGGGCTGGGGTAGCAGCTGAGAGTGCCCTGCTCACATGCTGATGCAGCCCTACCCACCCAGTCTTGCTTTTTCTTTCATTGCCTTGACCACAGAGATGCAAGATAATGCTGCATTAGGCGAGATCCATGTGATTAGCAGGTGGGAGAGAGGAAGCCACCCATGCATGCTGGTCAGAGGCATGAAAGGGCTGTCTCCTTCTGTTCCAAGGGCCAGGAGAGATGTCTGCTAGTGCTGGGAGGAGGTAAAGCTCAACTAGAAAGTGAACGGGAATGCAAGGCACAGAGCGTCACCCACATTGGAGGCTGGGAAACTGAGAATGTAAATGCTTTTCCCGCTCCTGATTCTCCAGAAGAACCTACTTGTGTATTCTTGCCAAAGGCGGCTTCATTACTTTTGCTGTTCCACATATTATCCCCTTCCAATAATATGGTATGTGTTGATTGTTGATTTTGCTGAGATGTCCTCATGGGGCTGCTCAGCCCCAGTTTTACAGCATGGTCTGATTTCAGTAATTTTATAAGGCCAGCTCATTAGAGCTGAGTTGAGGGGCCCCAGAACAGAAAAATAATCTGCTAAGCCATCCATTTAAAATGACAATAATAAAAATGTTGATAAACATCAATATTTGCACCATGGTTTACGATCACCTTTAACGAACAATTCTGCTGTGATCGTTGAATGATTTTCTTTAATAAATGACTTCCCTGTTGTCAGATTTGATCTTGACTCAATGTGATTATGCAACCCTACCATGTGTGCGCTTGAATTTAAAAGCCTCTTGGCTGAGTTCCACAACTGAACTCAAGAGTTAGATTCTTTAAGGATTTTTTAAGTGATCATCACCTTTATGCATAATTTGAGGTGGAGGTTGTTGTAAATTTAAGTTGGAAAATTAAAATCTTTTTGGGAGTCAGGATGGTAGCTGAATAAGATGCTCCACCAATCTTCTCCCCCAAAAGACAGAAATTTGAACAGCTATTCACTCACCAATGTACCTTCACAAGAGCTGGGGAAGCAGGTGAGATACCACAGTGCCTGGTTTTAGTATAACAGTAAGAAAAGATGTGTTGAAGAAGGCAGAAAGAAAAGAGTTGCCCATGACTTCACTTCCCCAGCTCCAAGCTGCACACTTTGGAGAGACACACCTCCCACTTGGGTGAGGGAAGGTATTATTAAGTCCAGAACTTAGTACCAGGTCCACCATGGTGAAACCTAGTGACAGGCAGAGGCTCCACAGCCCCTGTCTCCAAGTCAGTACCCAGGCAGCCAAGTGACTGCTTCCACCATCAACCCCTGCCACCACCCCACAACATTGGGCAGCACCATGTGGCAGAAGACTGGGTGTGTGAGAATTGAACAGGAAAGTGAGCAAAGACTAGATGTTGCAAAGCATAGGAGAAACATGGTGGCATTACTAAGAAGGGAAATAAGTGCAGAGCATCTCTTGTTGTCTTGATAATAAGCCTGAACCTAGAGGGCCTTGCTCGGCAGGGAAAGGGTGAACAGAAACCCCCCTTCCCCGACCCCCACCCCCACTCATGCTATAGACACTTGAGGCATTTATCATGAGAGGATCCTGTGGCTCTCGCAGGCCGCAGTCTGGGAGACTATTGGGTTACCACAGCTCTGCATTGCCTCAGAGAAGGAGCTCAGCCCATGTTGTGCCTTCCTCCACCCAGGTTCTGGTTTATGGAACCATATCGAGACCCCCTGTCCCCAACACACTACCAGTTCCATTGACCAAGTTCTGTGAACCATCCAGAATGCCCTCCCATGGCCCAGGGAAGAATCCAGGGAGCACATCCTACAGCCTGCAACAGCCCCCCAGAAAACAGTTGGGCATCCACACCACCTTCTTTCTTTCTGCCCCAGAAACAGCCTGGTGGCCTCACTCATGAATCCCCAATCCAGGAAGCAACCAGATGACCAACCCAGAGTGACTAGGCCCACAGCAGCCCAAGGAAGTTGATGAGCAGTCCTGCCCACTCACCCACAACCCTGAGAAGAGGCCAAACAGCCTTTCTTCAGTGACTCGGCTTCCCAAAGTCCCTGGGAAGTAACAAGGCAGCCCTACCCTCCCTCCTGTGACCCCCAGCAGCTGTTGAACAGCTGTTCTCAGAAGCACCACCCACTGCAGCTCTGTAAAGCAGACCCACAGCCTCACCACCCTCCTTCAGCCCCGGGAAGCAGCTGGAGGACCTCCCTGAGCAGGTGGCCCCTGGAAGCCCCACGAAGTCACCTGTGTAGCCCTTGGACACTGGCAGGTACCCATCTAGGTACACCAGTGTGCCTGGCTCCCATGCGGCTTCAGACACTGATGGGCAACCCATCCCATTACCAGGCACACTGAATCACACCCACCTGGGCCTAGAGTGGGTGGTGGTTTCTACCTCACGTGTCCCTTAGAAACTGATGGGCACCTCACACTTACAGCCAGGCACACCACACCCAGAACTGCCGGTGAATCCGCCTTACCTAAGGGAATTGCATCCTAACTGGCAGTGAAGTCACAGAACTCTTGCAGCTTAAGCCACTGAGACGCACAGACATCACCAACTTGATTACAGCTGAAGGAGCTACAGATACTACCCTGAAGCATCCTGGAACCAGAGCCAATGCAACATCTACACCCTAGGGCACATTGCCCGCAGAAAGTCTTTTACAACAAAAACAACCCTATAAAATTGATAGAAAAAACTGACTCACTAGATGCACCAAAACCAACATAGGGGCAGAAGAAGTATGAAAAAACAAGGTAACATGATGCTTCCAAAGGAACACATAACTGGAGGCCAGTGCTGTGACATAGCGGGTTAAAGCCCCAGCCTGCAGCACCAGCATCCCATATGGGCGCCAGTTCGAGTCCTAGCTGCTCCACTTCCGATTTAGCTCTCTGTTATGGCCTGGGAAAGCAATAGAAGAAGGCCTACGTCCTCGAGCCCCTGCACCCAGGTGGGAGCCTGGAGGAAGCTCCTGGCTCCTGGCTTCAGATCGGCTCAGCTCTGGCCGTTGCGGTCATTTGGGGAGTGAACCAGTGAATGGAAGACCTCTCTCTCTCTCTGGTTCTATCTCTCTGTGTAACTCTGTCTTTCAAATAAATAAAAATAAATCTTAAAAAACAAAAAGGAACACATAAGTATCTGACTACAGACCACAAAGAAATGGTAATTGACAAGCTGCCCAGCAGAGAGTTCAAAATAATGATTTTAAAGAAACTTGATGAGGTACAAGAGAATACAAACAGACAGCCCAATGACATGAGGGAGATAGTTCTTGATTTTATTGAAAAGTTTGGCAAAGAGAGGTCATAACAAAAAATAAATCAGAAATATTGGTGCTAAGGAGATTAATAAATGAAATGAAAAATAGAGTTGAGATCTTCAATAGCAAAATTGAGAAGGCATAAAAATTAATTTTTGAGCTTAAAGATAAGTCTTTTTTTTAAAATTTTTGACAGACAGAGTGGACAGTGAGAGAGAGAGACAGAGAGAAAGGTCTTCCTTTGCCGTTGGTTCACCCTCCAATGGCCGCTGCGGCCAGCGCGCTGCGGCCGGCGCACCGCGCTGATCCGAAGCCAGGAGCCAGGTGCTTCTCCCGGTCTCCCATGGGGTGCAGGGCCCAAGCACTTGGGCCATCCTCCACTGCACTCCCTGGCCACAGCAGAGAGCTGGCCTGGAAGAGGGGCAACCGGGACAGAATCCGGTGCCCCGACCAGGACTAGAACCCTGTGTGCCGGCGCCACAAGGCAGAGGATTAGCCTAGTGAGCCGCAACGCCAGCTGATAAGTCTTTTTTAAAAACCCAATCAGATATAAAGAAAAAAGGGGGGGAAATAAAAATTAAAAGATGATAGAATATTTAAGATAGCTTACAAGGACTCCTAAAACATAGGGACTGTAAGAGACATTACTTATGAAAGCCAGTCTTAACCACAACTTCTCTTTCCCCTTGCTGTGTGGCCAAGTTTATATTGTAGTGAGCCTGGTTCTGCTGCCACTGCAGATTGAACCAGGAACTGGGGGCATAGGCTGGGTAAAGCATTGGCTGCATGGAGCTAATCTGATTCTGTCTCCTGAGAGAGCTGGTTCTCAGTGTGGTGTGATACTATTTCCTCCAGGAACCTCCCTTCTTGGTCTAGTTAGCTTGAGTGGGTCCTGTTTCTTGCAACAAAACAATCCTTGACTAGAGATGAGCCACCAATTTGACTCTAAGCTTTAGATAAGACATTCTAAGTCTGGAAACATAAAGTAAGCATATTATTATACAGTACGTTAGTTATATTTTTAAATAATATGCTCAACTTCCAGACATCTTTGTAAATAAAATACCTCTAAATTTTAGGCAGTGGATTTGATTCTTAATCTGAAAATATATATATAATAAATACACACAGTGTTAAAAGATTTTTTTTGGCCGGCGCCGCGGCTCACTAGGCTAATCCTCCGCCTAGTGGCGCCGGCACACCGGGTTCTAGTCCTGGTCGGGGCGCCGGATTCTGTCCCGGTTGCCCCTCTTCCAGGCCAGCCCTCTGCTGTGGCCAGGGAGTGCAGTGGAGGATGGCCCAAGTGCTTGGGCCCTGCACCCCATGGGAGACCAGGAAAAGCACCTGGCTCCTGGCTCCTGCCATCGGATCAGCGCGGTGCGCCGGCCGCAGTGCGCTGGCCGCGGCGGCCATTGGAGGGTGAACCAACGGCAAAGGAAGACCTTTCTCTCTGTCTCTCTCTCTCACTGTCCACTCTGCCTGTCAAAAAAAAAAAAAAAAGATTTTTTTCATAACACAAGCTAGTATAATTCCTATGCTTTTTTTTTTTTTTTTTTTTTCAGATTAACTGTTAGGTTTGGAATGGTTTGGGGTTCTGGCCTTTCATATTCCCAGAAAAGAGAGAGAAAAAGAGACAGAGACCGATCTCAACAGAGGCAGTTTGCTTTACTGAAGCATAGAGGGGTGACAGTCTGTTCTAGCAGAGACTGTGCACAGGGCACGTGTAAGGCTGGGGTTTTACCTGCCTGAAGAGGGAATCTGCCGCTGCCAGTGGGAGGTATGGGGCTCGCAGATGATGGGAAGGAGGCTTTTTTGAAGCCACTGGGGCTTTTCCACCGTCTGTTTCACCAGCTGCCCTGGGGGGCTTGTCTGTTTTGCCAATTGCTTTGCAAGAAGTCTGGGGGAGGTTGAGCTTGGTTCCTGCACCCAGGGTCTTGACACTAGGGAGGAATGGGGCGGGTGTGTGTGTGTGTGTGTAACATCTTGTGAGTGTTATTGCCCTTCCGTGAGCTTTGTCTCTTCAGTGAGCTTTATTGCCCTTTGTTAATCTGATATTCCATAGTGCACTTATTTGGGGCCTTGATCCACAAAAGTTAGCATATTGTCTGAAAAGATGACTACATCCTGTTCAAAAGTAAATTCAGGCTGGCGGCGCCTGGCTCACTTGGCTAATCCTCTGCCTGCAGCACCGGCACACCGGGTTCTAGTCCTGGTTGGGGCGCCGGATTCTGTCCTGGTTGCTCCTCTTCCAGTCCAGCTCTCTGCTGTGGCCCGGGAGGGCAGTGGAGGATGGCCCAAGTGCTTGGGCCCTGCACCCACGTGGGAGACCGGGAGAAGCACCTAGCTCCTGGCTTCGGACTGGCGCAGTGCACCAGCCACAGTGCCAGCCATAGCGGCTATTTGGGGGGTGAACCAACGGGAAAAGGAAGACCTTTCTCTCTGTCTCTCTCTCACTGTCTAACTCTGCCTGTCAAAAAAAAAAAAAAAGTAAATTTGTTCTGTTTCCAGATTTTTCTGACACCTGGGGTGGCCACTGTAAGCATGAAAACTTCATCTTTGTTTATCTGAGTGTGTCCTTCGATAAAACATGACACTTAGTAGTTATAGTCTACTCTCCATTAAGAAAAAGATTGTTCTGAATATCCTCATGAAGTTATTCTGTTTAACATGAGAAACATCCTCAACTGCACCCTCACAATAACACTGGCCTACATTTTATACTACATTTCTTATAATGTCTCCCAGCATAGACAGATGGTATTACCCACAAGTACAATTCAGGAAAAGTGCATTTTGGATGATGAAGAAGGCAGAGGGCACCAATCACTCATCTGTTGGCATTGCCTGTTTCCACTTGCCACCCTAATTTAACTCCTCTAAAAATATTTACTGAGTGCTTACTATGTACACTGTAATAATTGCTAGGGATGCATATGATAGAGTCTCTTCCATCATGGAGTTCACAATTCTGCAGACATTACAGACATTAACTAAAAGAATACAATGGTGACAAATAAATCATCAACAAGCTGTCTCCTGGGTACTTTACATCCATTGTCTCTGTGGAGTTTTTAAAAATTTTTTAAAATTATTTGAGAGGGAGGGAGAAGGGGAGGAGGGGGAGGGAGAGGGATCATCCTTTCACTCACCCTTCCTTCCCACTTCCTGCTGTGGTGTGGGTCACCTCTGTCTCACCTCACTGGCCAGCCCCCCAGGGCACCGTCCTTCCCAGAGGATGCTGCTCCTTTGGACAGGCATCAGCAGATGGTTACACGCAAGGTTACTGCCCTAACCCTTTCTACCTACAGTGAGAGCCAACAAGCCGGGGTGTAAGGCTTTGCCAAGAGCTAGTATAACTAAAGGGAATTAATGACAGACTTCCAGGGGCCGGTGCTGTGGCACAGGGGGTGAGGCTGCCACCTGCAGTGCCGGCATCTGATATGGGTGCTGGTTCGAGTCCTGGCTGATCCACTTCCAATCCAGCTCTCTGCTATGGCCTGGGACAGCAGTAGAAGATGGCCCAAGTCCATGGGGCCCTGCACCCACATTGGAAATCTGGAGGAAGCTCCTGGCTCCTGACTTCGGATTGGCACAGCTCCAGCTGTTGTGACCATCTGGTGTGTGAACCAGTGCATGGAAGACCTCTATTTCTTTCTTTCTCTCTCTCTCTCTCTGCCTCTTTGTATGTAACTCTGCCATTCAAATAAATAAATAAATCTTAAAAAAAAAAAAAAGACAGACATCCAAATGACTGCCCCAGAAGCCAACAGAAAAGCATGAACTCCTTAGGGCCACCCCCAGAAGCCACCCCAGTTCTTAGCTTTGATCTCCATCCTCAGGCTGGAGCACACTCCTCTTAAAGAACCCATTCTTCAAAGCTACAAGTGCACAAACCACCACCCTTTAGGGAAATCTGCCCTATCCTTAGGGGTTTCTCTGGCTTTAGAATTTGCATCCTTTGATCTCCCCCACCTCTGGGGCAATCAGGGAGCACAAACGTTGCCAGGAGCCCATTTCACCAAGTCAGACTTAGGCACTCCAGAAAGTTTAACAGGATACTTTTTAGCTGCACCCTTCAAGTTGTCTTAGCTGGAAGCCTCCTCATCTTTCCGGGTGATCCTATGTAAACTGTCAGGTTACTTGGGCACATCCACACACTACACACAACACACACCAGCCTAAATCTGTAATGAGCCAACGAAACATTCCTAATTGCAGGACGGGTCACTGAAGCTCTTGCCCTCAGATGCAGGTAGAATGTTATATTATTATACAGTTTTGTCAATCTCTGTAAGTTCCTTTTGTTGGGGGGGGGGAGTGGGAACCAAATAAACACATTAGGGGCATCTACTAGGCTGTGGA